TTTCAAACTTGAAGCACTCGGAAAGTACCAACCTTTTGCACATTTGCGGAGGTGACATTGATTTGGTAAATAGATGTCACACTATTTATTTATTATTTGATGACTTAGGTATTCTTCCCAGCAGTGTTTTTGTAAAGCGCAGTTGTGTTTTCCTTTAGTTTCAATTAACTAAATTTGAAGTGGTTCCCAAAAAAGCCCCTGCTCTCTTAAATTCAAACTCACCTTCCTTTTTCTCACTAGGAAGGACCTTTTCTCCATCCTTGGATTGGAATTTGGAATCTGTGCTAATAACGCCTTTGCAGTTAAAATCTGTGAACGCGGGGTGTAACCATAGGAGGTGCTGGCACTTTACGAGAATGGTGATTTTATTTAATCTGCTTTTCCAGAAGGCTGCAAATGGGAATTCCAGACAAACCCACTTGGGTGAGTCCCAGCACGCGGGCTGCGGCGCGGCGGGAGAGCTCCTCACGCGGCTGGGAGTGTAGCCCAGGTCCGCGGAGCCAGGACCCCGCCCCCAGCTCTCCGAAACCGGGAAGAGAGAGGCGACACTGCTGAGGCCGAGGGATGACAGTGCTGTTTCCATTAATTCGCCCCCCGAGATGTTCTTACTTACAGAAGGAGGTGTCTGTTCACCAAATCGCTCACTTGCCGGACGACCACTCACCCGCGGCTGCCGGGTGGATCCAAGCGCTCTTGATGGGAAGGGGGCGGAGCCTGCCTGACCGGGAGCCCGGGGCCACGCCCCCACGTTTTGCATATGTGAATCCGCGCGTCCATACCTTTCATCCCAGTGTGGAAGCCCAGGTTTTCCCGGGCCAGGGCCGGTTTTCTGGGCAGAAACAGTGAACTCCGCTGAAAGGAGCAACTTAAGTAGTACACTGACATTTAGCATAATAAAGCTAGAGGGCCTGAATTCGACGTCAATCGTTTGCTTTATTTACAAATATGTCCTTTCTTATGAATCCATTTATTTCTCCCCAAAAGCTTAGGAGAGAAGGCAGGCTGGCTGGCTGTGACCCCTACTCTACACAGGAAGAAAGTGAGGAGGAAGAAAGCAGGCCTAGTAAATAGAGAAGCCTGGGTTTTAGTTGGGGCTTCTGGCTCCAGAGCCGGTGTTTGTAATCACGCTGCATTATTTATTTTTTTTAAAGGAGGTGGAGTGGGATGGTTTCCTGGCACTTTGAAAATCTTCTGATACAAACTATTTTTTCTTTCTAAAAAAAACTTAATGCTGATGTGGTGGCACCCACCTGCAAGCCCAGCTACTTGGGAGGCTGAGGCAGGGAAGGATCACGAGTCTGCGAATCGAGTGCCAAGTGAGGCTCGCTCCTTGCACCACTGCACTCCAGCCCTGGGAGACAAAGTGATTACCCTGTCAAAAAAAAGAAAAAAGAAACAAAAGAAAAGAAAAGAGGCCGGCGTGGTCCAGAGGTGCTGTGGCTCACGCCTCGCAATCCCATACACTTGGGAGCTGAGGCAGGTTGGATCGCCTGGAGGTCAGCGAGTTGTGAGACCAGCCCTGGACCAACACGGTGAAAGCCCATCTCTAATAAAAATAAAAAATTAGCCGGCGTGGTGCTGGCGCACGTATCCGCTACCGGAGGCTGAAGAAGGAGAATTGCCTGGAACACCGGAAGCGTGGAGGTTTGCAGTGATCCGAGATCGTCCATTGCACTCCCAGCCCGGGGCCAACAACAGCGAAGCCCAATCAAGAAAGAAAAAAGAAAAGAAAAGAAAAGAAGACAGAAAAAAGGAAGGAAGGAAGGACAGGAAGGGAGGGAGTGGAGGGAGGGATGGAGGGACGGAGAGGTGAGGGAAGAAAGAAAGAAAGAAAGAGAACAGAAAAGAAAGAAGATAGAAGAAACAGAAGAAAGAAAGAAAAGGCCAGGCGTCGGTGGATCATGCCTGTA